AGACAAATATCAAGATCCTATTCGACACCCTCTTTCACTTCTCTGTATCACCTCAATATCAAACAACAGATATCGATAAATTCGCCTGAACGAAGCTGAAACATGACTTGATCAATGGTCATCCTTCGATTAAACAATTTGACTACAAAATATAACCTTCAAATAGTTCTTCCCTTCCCCCAGAGTTTTACAACTTAACACACTGAGCTCTTATTCTGTACTAGAGTTTTTAACATATGAAAAGAGAAGCATTGCAGCCAATCATAGATAATAAGCCAACTACAGTACATTTAACTATATTTCTCAAGAAAATGAAATTTTCATTTACCAAGAAAGCTATTAATGTAGGTGCAAAATGAATTTCAACATATACGCAAATGCAAACAAGATATCAACGAAAGGGCTTCAGCATGAGAATCAAAAAACCTACCAGCAAAAGTGCAGAACTAAGTTGCTGAAAAACCCAGAAAACTAAATCCCAAGATTACTCTTACTTTGAATATTAAAAGTTTTAAGGGTAAAGTTTTTGTTGTGAAGTGAGTAAAATGAAATTAAAGCATTTCTTGTCTTGAGGGACTTTTCCATGGTTGCTTGCTGACAGATCAAAGAGGTTTTTTTTTTTTTGTCATTTATTGATTTGTTGTCCCTTGGGGGCTTCAGAGGAATATGGGATTCGTAAAATCCTGAGCTTTCCATTAAGACTTCCTTTGTCACTATGCGTGGTGGATGGGAACATGAGCTGGCCAAAATTTGGTTTTATTATATTAACAAAACACAAAGCCAAGAAAGTAACTTGTGACTAAAACAAAACAAATACCTTGACTTGTTTCTTAGTGGGTGATATGGGGGAGATTTCAAAGACAGCCCCCTTACCCCACCACTAATTTGTTTGCTTTTGTAATGGCATGGACCATACGTGAAATTTAATTAATCATATACAGTGAAAAATAAATTATTTTTCAATTTTCATCACGGATATTTTTTGTGTTTAGAATAATACATTTGATAAATTCTGCAAACTCCTTTATCGATCTTGGATTCGAACAATCACGATCTGTAATCCACAACTGTCCAATTGTCCAACCTCCATAGAAATCCACACGGGGAACGAGAGTAAGAGAATCATGATTTTTATTTTCTTGTATTGGCAAGAATATGAATTGTGTTCTGTTCTATTTTTCTGAAATCCTAATGGCTTATTAATATAAGTTCAAGTGGGCTTGACTCGTCTTTTAAACTTAATACGATCCAATATTTAATTAATCTAATTAGCTAAATTTGGATCATAAATTAATTAATCGGTTCTATTAACAAGTAACTCAATTAATTAACTATGCAACACTTGTAAATTAATTAATTTGTGAATCTCATTGTTCTAGTTCTCTCTTTGTGTGTAACACATCAAATTCCCGATTACGATACCTAACAATAAGAATTATTATTTTGATCTAATCAAAATCGATAAATTAAAATAAACTTTTTAATTTATGACAAATTCACATTCGTCGTCTCAAATTGACATCTAACAATGTGTCGGACAATATGTATAATAGGAAATGTCACGTGGTATGACAAAATCAAACATGTTTGTTTACCATGAAACTATAATCATTTTGTCAATTTGATCCGATCAATGACTAGATATGGATATGTGTCAATCTCAATTATCGATCATATCTTTCATCCCACTATTAAGTCAGTATAAATTAAAAACTCCTTTTCAAATTATGAATACACATTGGCCAAGAATTTCGTTATTAACTTAATTGAATGAAATGTAGATCATAATCTCTTACTATCTAAGAGTGACGAATTTTCTATTGATCATTCACAACCTTCATATGATTCTTGACATACTGGAATGATATCGTATTAGCGACCCTTGGCAAAACAACATCTAATATCATCAAAGGATGATTATCATTATATAAGGCACTATGATGACATCAAGTCATAGAACCAATTCTACTACCGAACGTTAGAGATTAACCACTGATACTCAAAGAGTTATCCATGTGGAATCTCCCCAACGGATCTCCAATGTTTTGTCCTATAACAAAACATCTATGTGTTCATTAAGTGTCACCACACTTTAATTTGTGAGATCAACTATTTATTTCACAAGTAAGAAATGCAGCACGTGATGGTCTATCCGTAATAAAGATATCTGTATCTCGTTATTATATACGGCCATGGACGATTTAAGATTCAATCATATATAATTCATATCTCACAATCA